GTCTTGCTCAAGCTGATTGTAGACAGTAGAATTTTCTTCATTAACGCCAACTTGATAGTCTTGCTCCAGCTGATTATAACAAGTAGAATCTTTTTCATTAACGTCAACTTGGCGATCTTGCTCCAGCTGATTGTAGCCAGTAGAATTTTCTTCATTAACGTCAACTTGATGGTCTTGCTCCACCTGATCATAACAAGTAGAATCTTTTTCATTAACGTCAACTTGGCGATCTTGCTCCAGCTGATTGTAGCCAGTAGAATTTTCTTTATTAACATCAGCTTCGTGATCTTGATCTAGCTGATTATAGCCAGTAAAATCTTCTTCATTGATATCAACCTGATGGTCTTGCTCTTCCTGATTATAACAAGTAGAATTTGTTTTATTAGCGTCTGTCTGACCGTAATCTTCTATACTCCGAAATTCAGTCGTAGAAGATTCAAACTGCAAAGAATGTAATGGAGAATTAGGTAAAGCTCCTTTCCGTTGATGTTCCGTAAACATTTTTTCCCTTGAGAAAATTTGAATAGTATCATCTTTATTTACTTCATGTATTTCGGTTAATGTTGAATTTGAAGCAAATTTTTTGTTTGCATTAGTTGATTCGCTGTTATTCGCTTCATACCGTATTCCCACCTGTTGTTCCTGTATTTGATGTAATTCTCTTTGCTCTTGACATATTTGTTGTTGTACCGACTCCGTTGCTGATAAATCTATTTGATTCTCATAACTTCGAACCGCTGGATAGGTCGATTGAGGTACTGGCTGCGACAAAATAGCAGCTGCATTTCTAGCATATTCCTTCAAATTTTTTGATATTTTTAGATAAAATGAAGCATTATTTAGTGCCCATTGTGCTTGTCTTTCAAGTAAAAAACTCAAATTATGTGGACTGCTAGGTATTTGTGGGAGTCCAGCATTGTGGTAATGAACTGGGGTGCTAGGAGAAGCATTAGGGTGAGAAGAAGCAGAATGAGCTTGTAATATCGGCATTAGTTGAATATTTTGAGAGATCTCATTGATGTAAATTGGTGAGAGAAAATGTTGCATATCTGGTGATGGTTGCGAGTTTGTTAACACCGAAAATGTATTTAGATGCTCTTCTGGTCTAACAATCAAACTGCTTGATGAGTAAACGTTTTGTTGTTGTGAAGGCATTGTTATTTCTGAGGTAGAATGAATGCATTCCAGTGTAGGAGCATGCACAAGTCGAGTGTTATTATCATTACTGTTGCTAATTGTATTTACGCTACTGTTATTGCTAATTGGTGAATTAGTATTACATTCATTAACAAGTGAACACGTAGTACTACTGTATATGCTTGGAGCAGTGTTTGACACAATTTGACTATTGGCAATAGAGGGTGCTAGGCTAATAGATGAAACATTCACCATTGATAGATTAGAAGCTGATCGAAATAATGATGACGAAGTCAGACTTTGATTTTCAGAATTGTTCGACACGTTATCGCTTTGTTGAGACATTTTTCCTTTTTTTAATAGAATATCAAAAGATACAGTTTTTATTTCCTTTAAGTATCAAAAATAATTACCAAATTTTGAAAACTACTAGTAAACCTGAAAAGTTTTCAAGAATTAAGAAACAAAGCTAAGCAATTTGATAAAATTTTTATAAAGTTTCGTTCAATAAAGTTTCAAAAAAAAGGTTGCATGAAGATTTTCGTGAAGAAATTTAATAACGAGAGAAGATAAGACAAAAAATTTGACAAAGATTGACGGGTAAGGGGAAAGAAGACGTTACAGTGATAAAGGGTCAAGGAACAAGCATATTCTTAATCATTCAAATAATAAATAACCTCACGAAGGGCATTATTATCCGAACACTAAGAGCATTGTTATTAGAAAGTGAAAGATTAAGGACCTATCAACACTACATCTATGTACAGCTAACTATACAACGACTGCCTACGTGGAATGGCATCGATCGTGACGTGTTGATGAAAATATAATGAAGCATAGAAAAAAGCCACCCTAACCTTAAATATCAATGCAGCACAGATTTTGAGTAGGGGGTCAAGATTGGGCGTGTATATAAGGATGGATATTTTTGTTATATGACAGTCTTCCTTCCATCGACGTAATGTTTGAAAAGGAGGGTAGTGATGGTAGGCTCTTGCTATAGTGGTTTTAGTAAGGGCATTTGGGGCGGGAAGAGGGATGCAATGATCTTATTTATTTGGTCATTCGGGGCAAAAAACCGTGACTTACATCTAGAAGTGACTAGTAGTAGAATTTGAAAAAAATACACTCTCTAGAATTTGGAAGAAAAAAACCAAAATGTATTTCTTTCATGGAAGAAGTTCAACTTTGATTGGTGTTTTATTTATCATGACATAATTGATTACATTTTTGCATATTTACGGAATTAGCTGAAACTCGTAGATAACTAGTGCAAAAGACTGGTGCAAAAAGTCATAGTAACTTTTTGTAGACAAAAACAGAAAGTTATACCACTCATCTAAATTCTACTAATTGAAAGTTATTCAAAGTTTCGAGATATAAAGATCGTATTTTACTAAAATCATTAGCCTTAGATGGAAGCTATGTATTGTGGTTTAGGCATTGAACACAAACACTGCAAGAAACTTTACTACACTTTTCTCATCTTCAAGAAATTTCTATAGTTTGAAAAAGAAAATATGCAAATCAGAACTATGCAAAGCTATTTTCAGATCTAATCATTCTTTTATTCTCAAAGTCGATCAAATTTCTTAAAATGATTGATTAACTTATGCAATCAAATTTCATAAAAGTAAGTGTATATATTATATCTACAGACACACTGAAACGTTAGCAAACTGTTTACAAAGAACAAGGCAAGTTATAATGCCAAAGATGATATCAGAAGTGAGCAAACGCAAGAAATGAATGGTTAACACTAATGGAAGGAAGTGTGAAGAAAAAGGGAGGTAAGATGGCATAGTTCGAACGCAACCCAATGCAAAGCTTGACCTTTGCACTTTCACTATGAACTTTTTTTTTCGACCCACCTCAACCTTTATACTTGATTTTGTTAGCTTGTTACCCTGCTGGTAAATGCAATGTTCTATTCCACTCATCAACTCGTCACCTTCTCTCCATTCAAATCAGTGACAAATACAACATTTGCATCACTTATTTTATTCATACTGTGAACATAGTAAAAGCATACTTATCTTTGTTAATATTATGGTATTATATATTCAATACCGTGCTGTATCACATTGTACTCTATAAGTTACGTTTGGATATTTTACCCTGACATATGTACAACTGTAACCATGTAGACTAATCTTATTGTACAGTAACATTATAACCAACAATAATACAAAGTAGAAAACTGATATAAAAATATTTGGTAAAAGTGTGAAATCACTACTTGTGGAGCGTTCATTAATATGCTTTTGATGTTATCAATATCTGCATGGTTATGAATATTAACATTATTTCATTGTCTTGGTTATTATTATCGGTATAGAAGTTTTCTCGGTGTAAAGTTCTTTGGTTCAGTCAATCAGTCTCCAGCATTGTTGATGATATGCTGTTGAATGGATTTACATGGAGGTTTTGAGAAAACTAAAGCTTTGAGAGTTTTTACCTCATGCTAACTTTACCAGTATAGTGTAGCAGTGTAATTTTGTAGCTTTGTCAAGGAGTAACTGTAAATTATATCAAAAACTGAAGCAGTTTCGCTATTTGGACTGAGCAGTGAAGTGAGATTCACTAAAACTGATAAAACTACAAGCATTTTACAACATAAATGTTCTTTCTAGCAGCATACATCTTAAAATATATCAAATCAAACAAAATTTTAGTTCGGTTCTGCTTATTTAATAATATTTGCTTAGCATAATATGCTATATTGTGAATTTAATCTATTTCAGTTTCATTTTCATTTACTGAAGCATACATTTTATGTGTGAAACTTCAGATATAATAAATTTATTCCATAAAAGTTACAGAACATGGGCGACAAGCATTGAGAAAATGAATTATATCAACTGAAAATTGTTGATCACCTTGTGTCTTCATGTTACGATCTAGTCTCAAATCATTTTAATACAATTTCCTGAACTCTCTGCAGTCTAGAAATAAAATTAAAACCACAACATCGTCAGTCTTGCTTTTCCTTTTCAAGAAATGGTCTTATAGTTGACGGAATAGTTGTATTTCTTTGCGTTTCAAAAAGTTGAGCGAAATATCGACGATTCCAATTCTTTAAATAAGCAAATATTGTTAGCTTTCCTTTTTTCGAACGGTATTAAATATTGCATAACTGCAAAAACTTGTTAGCTTTCTAAACAAAAGCTACATGAATTACGACTAAACTTTTTGTCTCACTGATCGTTAATATAATCTTACCCCATACATTGATGTGGTAGATTGCAAGCAAAGAATAAAACAAATAAGTAATGTGACCAAAGGAAGCTTCATCTTTCTGCAACACTTTAGTATTCATTCAAAGTAATCAGTATATAGTTAAAAATTATAAATGAATTATGAATTATATCAACTGAAAATGAATTATATAATTGAAAATTATGTGAAATATCTTAATAACACATATTTTATAGAAAAATTGTGGATGACTTTAGAATATATGTAGTAAATCTACGTTACTGTCATTTATAGCATCTATTTATTTGCATATTATTTGATAAAAGGTAATATCTCACACGGAATCTTCCATCTTATTAGAGTTGCTACTTTTTTAATATATAATTTTATTTTATACTGGCTAGTAACACACTCAAATTTAATGAAATTATATGCATATAACTTAAAGTAATTCAAAGTAAGTTTATAGAAAATTTGCATTTACGTAATTAATAAAAAACCAATACACAAATCATTTTGCACTTGGAAATACATTAAAAAATTATTTTTGTTACTGTGAGCTGTCATAAAATCAGCTTTTATACCAAATATATATGCTTCTTTTCATCGTAAAATTCCTCCCATACATTATTTAATATGTATTTGCATATTGTCTATTTGATCGGTGATTTTTGATGGAAATTTAGAATTGCAAATGACTTACAAAGCATTACTACTTCACATGCAGACTTGACATAGTAAATATTCAAAAACTACAGATTCACGTTTCATCGTAAAATTCCTTCCACTGAAATTGCTTTCATCGTATAACTCATCCCATACATTACTTAATGCTTATTTGCATACTGCATATTTGATCGGTGATTTTTAGATGGGCAAATGACTTACAAAGCACTACTACCTCACATGCAGACAGACTTGACACAGTAAATATTGAAAGCCCAGTTTCACGCTTGAGTAATGACCCATCTGGTTGGTACATAGAATTTGAGATCTTAATTTACTTCCACATAATACTTCTCATTTTGCTTCAATCTTGCATAAACTGTTCCTTACGCTTTTTTCTTCATTCTTTTACTTTTGGATAAAATAAACTAGCATAACCCAAAATGACAACAGTTCCCAAACCTTTTCAGTCTAATTAGCAAGAAAACTAGCAGTTTATTTGTCGCATACATACCTTATTAGTAATACTTTCCATCCTATTCATGCAAGGATATGGAAATAATACTCTTACCACTTTTCACCACATTAATATTTGATCAAAAACACCTACTTGCAAAATTGGAATAAATTTACTGCCACAAAACAGTATGCAAAAAAAGATTTATCGATAATTCAATCAGACGACATTTTGAAACAAGACAATGCAAGTCATAACTCTAAAAATTGCAAACAAGGAAGTCTACTGAGAGTAAACTATGGATATGATAGACAAGCAGATCAAAAAAATACTTCTGTCAGCACAATGAGCATTTGAGGGACGCATTAATAATGCAAAAACATCAGGTGCAGAAATAATCCTTACCATTAGAAAAAAACACTATGGGAGTAAGAGTAACACAACACACATGAGAAATACTGATAAATTTGCAATTCTTTACTGGAGGAAAATTCAAGAATTCTTAATAAAAAACATTATGAAACAAAATTTTACGGAAGTCATAACGACTGATTACATACATACACAGAGATATTTGCGAAACTACTAAAACTATAAGGACAAAGAACAAGTTGAATAGCAGATGGACCAACAAAAATCCAACAAACTTAGAAAGCGGAAGGTCAGACTTTACGTTATCTTGCCCTCTTTTATGAAATATTCACAGTTGAACTGCTCGCCATAAATGAGACCAAATATGTAAAATAGGTGAAGAAAGAAACGTAATGGACATCATAAATTTTGTGGCAGATGTTTTGGAAATTGTTGAGAAACTTCGTAAAGGGAGCTGAATCACGTGAACGAGTAAGAAAGCACGGAAGAGTAGCTGTATTTCATTCTGTTGCATGGCTAGCATTAACACCAAGTTACAAAACATTTTACATCTTTGTGGGAAACTGTTGCACTGAGGAATATAAAATAAAAAATTTTTACTATTTAAAACAATGAATTTTTTATGATGGTAATGGAGAACAATTTGCTGAACACGTCACAAATACAAACATGGACGCATACGTGCGGTAGGTCTTAGCTGTACTTTGTTAAATAAGTACCACTGCTGTAGTATAGAATTCACTATAACTGATGAACTAAAAACAGAAAAAACAATTTAAAACATGCATACTATCAGATTAGCGTAAAACTGCAGAGATTCAAACCCATAATTTCTATTTGTAATCATAAAATAGTCTTCATATAGGACAAAATAAATTTGAAGGAATTACTTAAAACATTTCAGAAAAATTGTAATAACAAGACTAAAACAATATAAACCATTAAATAATTTAGTTATACTGCGCCTTAACCATTTACAAAATTACAACCTCTAAAAGTCAAGATATTGTACACAGATTGGTAGTCAAGAGAAATACGAAATCACAATGAAGAGCAAAAGATGCATTAAAAATTGAACATTACCTTCCCATCAAACTTAAGTTATGAGTAAAAACAATAACAAAGAACTGCCTTTTCCAATCTATTCAAGAAGACTTCAAATCTTGCCTAAATACAAGAAGTAAAGATGAAATATGTCCATAAGTGCGAGAACAGCCAAGACTAAATTTTAAATCCAAGAAATGCAGGGCCAAAGATTTTCACGTGATACTATGAAAAGATGAAAGATGCTTACATCTGCAGTTAATAAGAAATAAACAATATCACTCACAAACGCAGCTAGATCCACAGATTTTAATAGACAAACACAAGCACAAAGGAATAAAGCAAATTATATGATGTTCTGATAAATGACTAAAAGCAGAAACAACTGTCAAACAATTTTGTGATTCGACGAAAGATGAATCTGAAAGTCAGTTCCATTTTTATCTCAATTATGATTCTCTACTCTAGCTGATTTCAATTTTCGAATTTCCTTGGTTACCCATATAGCAAGTGATTTTGTCTTCATTGCTTTACTTCGTCTTCCTTTAGTTATCATTGATGAAATATTCTGATTATCTATGTGGGGTAGAATATGCTCACCAAAAGACGTTACTAGATCACCTGAAAACAAAAAATGTTCCAAACAAAGTTGGCAGGCAAAAAAAATCAGCTCTATTGCGTGCCCTTATCAATATTTAGCGCCAAATATCACTGATTTCATTCTCCATTGATAATTAAGAGTGATTTCACGGATTTTCGAAAAATTTCTAAACTTAACTACAAAAATCGAGTATCACTATTGCGTTTGCTATTTCAAAAAACTGAAAATGTGGGCAATATGAACAATTTTTCATTTTTATCAATGAAAGGTAAGAGAGGTGGTGAAGGAGAACAAAAACGACTTTTAGAAAATGCTATATCAAAATGCATTGGATGGAAACGATCTAACAATGCTGATAATAATTTAATATTTTGTAGATGCCAACCATTAGAAAAAAATCGCTAGAATCTAAAAATTTTCATCTTTTGATCGAAAATGTAAAATATTTCATACCGAGTAATCCACATGCAGCACCTATTAAGGAATCAGGTGAATTACCAAGAGCGACAAGATCAATCAAAGTGAGCATGTTTTGTATCTGATCTCGCAGTAACTGGAATTCACTGCTTTGTGCTGTTCTCATTCCCTGCACAACACCTGTGTAAGCTTCTACGCAGCTTTCTCTTAGCTGCTCCACGTACTCAATATGGTCGTAGTCTTCCTGAAACGCAGAACTGCTTGATTACTCACCTGAATGTTACAACACATTTGAAAAATATATCTCAATACCTTTTATTTTTTAGAAATGACCTTCTTTAAATGAGAAACTTTCCTTAAACCTCATAATAACTTTCTATTTCTTTTTTATATGAAATTTGATAAGTAACAGAGAAACGGAAATTGATTTTATAGCACAGATTGTATCAACTGTAATAACAGTAAAAATTTTCAAAACCAATTTAATGCAAAAGAAACTGACAAGGTCCTCCACTTTTGCAGTTGAAGTAGCCATAGCTAGCATAGCCATAACATATTCATAATAACGGATAAAATTAGGGCCAATTGCTAATGCAACATCACCAAAACACGAAAGCACAGCTGGTTTAACTAATTTATCGACTTTCTCACTCTATAAAGGTAGTAACAAAGATGTTTGTTTTCTTAATTCGATATGAAAATGATAAAAGTAGGAGGTTTTATCTTACTAATAAGTGATATGGAACGATATTAGAAACTAAAGTGTCTATTGATTTCAACAAAACTATCAAATTTCCATACTTCTGCATTGATAGAAAAAACAAAAAAAACATGTCACTGATGAAATTAAAATGTGAAACCAAATATCATAGAGAAATAATCGATCGCTGAAACGAACCTGCACAATATGAAAGAGCAATCCCATAAATTCATCTAGATGAGGCATTAAATTTGATTCTAATGCACGGCATAGATCAACTAGTACACCAATAGCAGCCGAACATACTTGCGCTTCATCATGATTTTGTAAACCAGCAACCAGAAATGGTTTAAATACTTCCAAATATGATGCAAACTGAGAACCAATAGCTGAAAACAGCAGTTTATCTAACTAGTTCATGCAAAATGACAACAACAGATGCAGTCAACAATTTTTGCAGCAAAATTAAACCTTCAATTAATGTGCTAACTGCCATTAAAGCATCTTCCATAACACCGCCACATTCCTTTCCCGCACATCTAAAAATTTTTTCACAAACTATCACCAAATCAAAAATCTCTCATGCTACGACTTATTTAACATGATTTCATAATAACGCGTTGTATCTAAGATATGAATAAGAAACCATTTAAATTACCTTTGCATGATTTGCAGTAAACCTTGCATGATAGCATCACCAATAAACGGTGTGTCTTCTGGTCTCATTTTGCGTAGCACAGATTGCAAAGTTGCACATAACAATGACTCCAAATCTCGTAACTGCCTCTGAAGGAGTTGAAGAATCACACAATTTGCTGTATGTCCTCTAATTTCCACTAATAATTTAAAAGATACCACTACTTTCATAATTTAATTTTTTAAAGAAAACCTGCTCCATTATTAAGATGTAAGTAGATGATAATGAAGAAGAGATATCAAAAACTATTCTGCATTGAGTCAATAACAAATATAAAAAATATGAAAATACTATATGTTTATTAGGTATTAAACTAATAATACTTGAATAAAATTCGAATGAATTATAACTGTACTTGTTACAAAACCAACAGTTATTAACAAGTGTAAAAGAAACATCTCATCCGTCATTCATAGCAAAAGAATAATAAGATTAAAGTACACTAATACGGAGGTACCAGAAATATATTTAAAAAAAGTCAAAATTGGGGATGTTAGACAGTAAATTGAAGAGACGCATGCTAAACTCTTTTACCTTGTCACTCAAAGACTCTAGTGAATTTTCAAGGTTTAATAACTGCTCCAACTTCCTCAGCACAATCACAGTTGTACTTTGTACCACTGGATAACAATCTTTCGGGCTGTTTTTAATTAGTTCCATTAAAGTTTCATAAGCAGCTATTCGCAAATTCGATATATGTGCATCCTGTCTATAATTGTTTTAAAGTAATTGTTTGATAAATTATTTTTTTTAATATAAAACAGATAAAGGAAGAGTAATTACAAACTTGATACACAATTGTATGAAAATTTGGTATCACAACAGCAATTTTTTGAAGCATGACTGAAAAAGTCACAGATATAATAAAAAATAAAAATTAGAGTTTATTTGATAAATCTATTCTTTCATAACTAACCTATCAGTGGCTTTTATAAGTTCATTCACCATGCCTTCAAAACAAGAAGTCAGTATATAAGTTTCAGGCTGACCACTATTATCAGTTCCTTGTCTACAAGCCATATCAAATGCTGCCTTAGCCAAGCTTGAAATTGCCTGGAAGATCAAAATATTTTTCGTAACAGTCAAGGAATTCTCCAACACTAAAGACACAAATCATTCTGCAAATGGTACACATCGTTTATTGTTCATTCTGAAGTGTCATTATATCCAATAGTGAGCGCTTAATTAACTTAAACATAACAGAAAATTCATGACTATGACTGAGATAATTGAAAAAAGATTACCCAACAAACATTAGCAGCTACACGAGGTTCTTGATGCAAAGCAGTTGACAAAGCAGGAAGCATTGGAGCCAAAATTTCCTGTCGCGTTACCACTTCTTCACATGTATCACACACACGTCCAATGCACCAAGCTGCAGTGTCCCGTACTTGCAGCTGAGACACAGTGCAGTTAAGTTCATATCATCAATATTTATCCAAAGAAATATTTCCTAGTCATTTCAATACAACCTCATCAATTTCAACTCAGATCTAACGGTATTAAGTAGTAAATAAAAAAATAGATCATGGAATTTTTACCAAAACCATTGTAATTATGTTTATTAAATATCATGTCGTACCTGCGGATCAGACAATGCAGCTATGATACTTATCAATGCTGACTCAACCAAACGCGTTAACACTGTCTCGTTTGGTCCATCTAATATTGATCCAAAAGCCATTATCGACGCTTCCCGATATCTAAATCAAGCAACCAATAAAGTTCGAAATCATCCTTTTTTTTGTTTAGGAAATTAAGATGCAATAAGTGTGAAAAAATTCAAGATACCTCCAGCTCGGGTTCTTTAGATGTTGCTGAATAAACGGTAAAATTGGTTCAACGATGGAGTCACCAGTACACTGCGCAAGAAGCATTATACAAACTCCAGCTGCTTTAGCTGGATTCCAATCATCCTCATCATCACTCTCCTCTTGTTTCGCCAATGTTTCCGTCAAGATAGGTATCAAATGATTTAGTGCTCCTTAGATAACGTAAGTAAAGCAGCAAAAAAGGGTTGAAAATTTTAAGCTGGAAATCAGTTTGCAAAAAATCAAAAAAAATTTGATCATTTAATATTGATCAGTCAGTTAACATTTGCTATTTTAAATGAATACAACGCGCTCATACACTTTTAATGCAGCTCTAATCAAATACTACCGCAGCTCTCGAACATCACTGAAATACACATATAAAATACATACCGCGAGCATAATGTCGCGAAACATTTTCAGGCGCACGACCTTGTTCCCGAGCTTCATCAGCTTCTACAGATAAAGATATCTCTTCCTCACAAACATTCGACCAAAATTCGATTCCTTGCAAGGCAACTTCATCAATATGAGATTTCATTGCACTAACACTAATCTGAAAAATCAAGACTTCTACAAAAAAATGTTTACAAAATACATTTGCCACTAATATTAATAACAGAAGAAGCAAAATTATAAACATAGATGGCACACAAATTTCAAAGTAACAGCAAAATTAATTACGGATGAGTAGCAGCAGACCAGCAAAACATGCGCAAGTAACAGCTGTAGAGTACTTCAAAAAGATAATTGATTCATATTATTTCAGTTTAAATTCAACGCACGAACCGGAAAAAGTGCATCCATATACTGCTCCATAAACTGATAGTACAAAGACATAATTCTAACTAGACACTGCATGGCGACTACTTTAACGGCTGTTTCCGGACACTGAGATGCTTCACATATTACTTGCATGATCATATGTCTCTCATTCTGAAAAGAAACACTGTAAATCTTCATATACCATTTATTAGAAATATGAAGATTGCAAATACTTTTCAAAATACAATACAAATCCAATTATGTAGAACTCGTACCAGACCAAAAATAGTACACTTTCAAACAATCAGTGTAAAATAGATTTTTCACTAAATACTTAACACGACTTAAGTTGCTGTCTTTATGCAAATTATGTTCCTTAATTTATAGATTATTCAACTCCACATAATATCGATGGAAAAAAACAATAAAGTTCAATAAATGCAAAGAGAATTTAATAAGCAATATATTTTTTAAGAATTAATAAGTCGTACATGAATTTCGAATTAATAATAGTTTGCAAAAACGACACACTTCTCTGCCAAAATTATGTTTTGTAAATTCTATTGAGTTTAGCATAGCATTTGCGGCTGCAAGGCGAATGTGATTAGATGGCTCATCTTTACGCAGTCCATGAACAATCGCTGTTAAAATCTCGTTCGACTCATTTTCGTACAAGGTTCCACATATATCTTGACAAATGTAACCTAGAGCCTTAAATAAGAGTAAACTGATAAACGGATATGATAAGATTATCATTAGCAAAATCAGTAGTCCAAAAACTGTTTTGTTGCCATGTAATATTAATAAAATTCACTTCTAATGAAGCTTCTCGCAAAATTTCATTGTTGGTTGAACTGATAACACTTTCTTTTAAACGGTTTATAAGATCTGGCCACGTCTGAAACATATTTACTATAATTATTACCTGACGTCTCATTTTGATCCTAGCTAAACTTACCAAAGCTTGCATGATTACATTCTATTTAAATCCCAAATTATTATTAATAATTCATACACGAAAGCAGCTAACCACATACAAATCCTGAGAGAAAGACACTCATAAAATTTTGACACTACAAACTAAGAACTGCGCTACAACATATAACAAAAACCATTTATATGCAGTTAGTCAATAACTGCAATAAATCCCAAAGTATTATTTCCACATTACTCTCAAAATACGTACTCGTCCAGGCATTTCTGCACATGCTATAGCTGCAACACACTGCGCTGCGATAGATGGTCTAAAGGGTTCAGTACCAAGAGTACGAAGTACATTTTCCTTTACAAAGTTACGGACATCCATTGGTAAAGCACGCCACCTGAGAGCAATGTATGACAAAGAGAGAAATTTTTATAAGGCATATATCAGAAAAAATCGCAGGATTTTTAATTATTATCAAGTTAATACCAACTTTGATTATTTCAATGAATTTCTGTGTTCAATTAGCAGATTCAAAAGATACCTCGCGAGATATCCAGCTTTTGTTACATCTTCTTTAGCTACCAAAACATTTTTAAGCTGCAAACCAGCTGCTTGTCGTGCAAAATTTGAGTAAGATGGTGTAGCAAGGACTGTTGAGAGTTGCCTTACAAATTCTGGCTGAAAAATTTTGCAAATGAATGAATGTAACCTAGTTAATAAGAAAATGAAATCAGACTTCATAATCAACAGCTATGACAATCAAGGCTAAGAGTAAATTTAATGTCCTTTGAAAAGTTTGAAAATTTTATGAGACAATTATGCGATCAAGAAGTTTCAACAAAAGCTAGCGATATTCGAGAAAAATTAACTTGAAGAAAACTATATTTTTTTGTCATATCAAATCAATCCTCTGGCGCTTTTTCTCATTACTAAATATGAAACATCTGAATAAAAAAAAATTCATTCCTTACAAAATTTGAAACACATGCGCGTCGCAAAAAATCTAATGCAATGGTTTGGTCTTCGGGATCTAAAAACCAAGAAATATTAGTCACATTATTAAAACAATTACAACAGTGAATTTGATGGTTTTAAACAACCCAAAAATGTTTCCTTCTAGCACTTATGCTTTTAAATACGTAACAGAAAAGGAATTTACATGAAGAGATGAATAAACTGATGCATATTTGAATCATGTTCTTAAACGATACAATTTTTTACAAATCGAAACTGAGAAAAATCATTTCAGTGGAAATGCTTATGGTCTCAGAACGGCTTTTCAACTTTTAGCAAATTTTACACAGTACGATTAAAAACAATATATATTTTCAAAAGTAAAATCAAAATCCAAAAATTACTTAGTGAGGCAGTTCGTTGTAACACTTCCAGCAGTTCTTCCTGAGCCATTTCGACGACACCTAAAAATTCGTCGAAAAATTACATATGACAATGCCGAGTTAATAAGGAATATTTATCGACAGGACTTTTTAATCACTAGAGTAAGACATCATAAAGCCTACTTACATTAGCAGAACTGAAAACTAATAAAAATTGCAGTATTTGCTTTCAATAAATTACAAAGAAAAAAAGGATGAACACAAATACTTTTTGAAATCAAGGAGAAAAGTAAACACTGAACAATCTGTGATTGTCGTAAAAAAAGATTTTTTATGTGACATCATCTAGGTACGGGTAGCAGTGATCTGACGCTAGAAAATTAATCTCCGTAACGTAAGCTATGAAACTATAATATCCCTTCTGAAAACCTTCATCTTTCCCTCCTTTTCTAACTGCTTACATTATTTAAACTTATGTCTTTCATCAGTACAAGACGAGCACCAAGTTGTTCACTAGTATGGCTGTACCCATAGGTACAGAAATTATTCCAATTTATAAATTTATTATTAGCTGAGCTAACGTAACTACCGACTATGAAGTAAAGACCAGAAAAATAATAGCGTATAGACATGATACCCTAAAATGTTTTCCCGCAGAAGCCTGAATTTTCCGAAAAAGATGAAAGTACCTTGAGTAATCCATAAGCCAATATGAAATTTTTACATCCCAAATATTGTTAAAATTTGAACTCACCAAATTAATCGAATCAAATTAACTGAATAAAAGTATCAAGTCCTAGAAAAATACTTTGATGATAATACTACGGATAGATAAGTGACTGTAACTGATGTCAGTCATATTTCCTGCCACACCATATATGGGATGCACATTTGCTCAATGACCCTGTGAAAAATTAACCAGTTCTTCTTAAACCATAAGTTGTACAGTACTGACATATTTGTGGTGATGGTTGTTCGCATTCGTTGTGGTTATCTATTGGAAGTATTAGTTTAATAAATAATTTATTCATATCAGTTTTTTGCTGATGGAAAACTTAACCTATTTTTAATTATTTCCTTGAATCCCCTCTTGAATTACTTTGGGTTCCACAACGTCAGTATTTGTTCTTTCGTGGTTCAACTTTTCAAAGTTTCATTTTCACTTCAGTAGGAGTTCTAAGTCAGTTAATTGTAGTTTTTAGTCTCCAATTACATATATATATACTAAGTGTCATCTTTTTTTAGTTTTTGAATTGCATAAATTTGGGTTCATCAAAATTTTTGCTCATTTTCCGCTTTCAATTCACGCAAAAATTTACGAGCATTGGAGTTACTCACACGCTTAGCCTATATTAATCTTTTGTAAATCTGATTATTCATGTTAACTTAAGTTACTTTGTTGGTATTCGTCTACAACTAATATTTATCAATCTAATTGACAAGACATTGAAATATCAATGTAAAAAACTTATAGAAATATATAGAAATGGTAACTTGATGCTTATAAGTTATAATTTGTAATCTGTAATCTACATTTTTTAAAGATGCGCTAAAGTACTGATTTAAGACGTTTTCAATGTTTGATGGTTTGGGAATGATGATGTTTGGTGGATCGACTCGTGCATTTGATTTGCAACTTCGGTGTTTCTCTGCGCCATTCTTCGAAAGAGCTGACACAAAGAAAATCAATGAGCTAAATCATGGTGGTAAGGTGAGGAAATCTTTACTTTGATGGAGGCTTTGCATTAAAATACAACAGTCATGAGGGGGCTTTATTTCCAGTTTTACTGGTTTTCGAAGTCTTCCTAGCTGAGAATGAAAAAAATTACTTAGGGTTTCATTGCGAATAAATATTGATTTATATTTTTTATAACAACTGTAAAAGTTTTTGAAGACCAAAAATAGCGGCACTTAATACATCAAAAAAAATTTTGTAGTTTTTGATATGTATGTCATTTCTATTTTGTAAAAAATAATTGTCAATTTCACACAGTTTTTTCGCTCTTGTAATTTATAATAAGTTTTGATGACAGATTTTACTTCCACCTTCTGCTTTGGATTTACTGGTTCGTCTTAACATTGAATATCCAATGATGTTCAAAATACAAAGTATAGGCGATCCTGGTGCTTTTACTCACTGCGGTGTTTTAGAATTTTTGGCTGAAGAAGGCCGTTGCTACCTCCCATCATGGGTGAGAATCAAGTTAGAAAGTAATGAAATTTTTTTAACGTCATAGCATAGAATTAGCATGTGTTATTTGAATTGTTACCTATATAATTATGAATTTTTGACACTCTGGATTTGTAGAGACTTTTCAGAATACGAGGAAAATTAGCAAATTTAAAATTTTTGATTCATGATTTTAAGATGAGTCCCGAATTCTAAATCTTTTTTTCAGATGATGCGTCAGTTACATCTTAATGAAGGTGAATGTGTTCGAGTGACCTATTCTTCATTACCAAAAGCTACTTATACTAAGTTGAAACCACAGTCCACAGATTTTCTTGTCGTTTCGAATCCGAGAGCTGTACTAGAAGTAGAGTTAAGAAAATTTGCATGTCTCACCAAAGGAGACATTATTGCTGTCGAAGTAAGATTAAGATATATCATTTTCTACTTTTATTCATTTATCTTGTCAAAAGTATGAAATGTTGATTTGTCTTTCTTAATATTAAATAGGCTTCTCATTTATTCATCGTAATGTGGCTCCTCGAGTAAGATTTGTTGGAATGGTAATGAAAAAAAGAAAGCATTTCAATACATTTCAATTCCTTGAAAAAAAGGACTTGAAAGAGAATACAGAACTCAATTATTAACAATTGTATAAGTAATTTTCTTATGACAGGTACATATGTTGAATTATCAGTACTATAGGCTCTAAAATTAAGTTATTAGTATTCAAATAAATTGAAGGATAGACTGTATTAATCATACCGTAAATAATACATATGGCGTAATTTCCTTTTTTCTTAAAAATCAAGATTCATTTTATCACTGTATAATTCAGTATATTTTTTAATGTTGCTGGATCTGTCCATTTTTTGCAAGCATTTAATTCCTGATCCAAAAATCATTTTTAGTACAATGACCAAGTTCTGGAATTTTTGGTTATGGAAGTGAAGCCTGGAACAGCTGTCTCAATCATTGAATGTGATATGAATGTGGAATTCGACGCACCAGAGGGATACGTTGAACCCGATGCAAACATACCTTCTAGCTCAAATGTCGGGGTAGGAGGTTTTTTAAAACTTTGGTTTTTGTTTCTACAAAGTGCGGTGGGTATGGTTTGGTACGAAACTAATATATTGGTTGGTTTAGGGAGTTTGTTTGCTAAGATGAAAATTTGGTCTATGGTGTGTTTGTCAGTTTAATGATTTATTTTGAAAACTAGATGGAATATTGTTTACAGCTATCGTCTACTTTAACAGCACCTATGGTAGATGCAGAAATGGCAGGTACCACCAGTACATTCACTCCATTTTCTGGTGCTGGATATCGTTTGGATGGAAAGTTAAAGTCATCTTCTTCTTCTTTGGACATGGAGAATCTGGAGCGATCACTCCCACAGTTAACTGTTGATGTTAATTACAGTCCTGGAAAGCTGGATTTCATAAGGTTTCCTTTTTCATTTATGAAAGATCCAACATTTTTGTTGAATTTAAAATAGTAAATAAAAATTAGTTTTTTTTCTTCTGCTCAAGAAAACTGTATTTGTTGCACGCTTCGTTAGCATCAAGTGAAATGTTTTACTGTAGTAAGAACTTGATTGGTGATAAGTGTGCGGTAGTTAAAATCCACGCCTGCATTACTGCAGTTTAAAGCTTTTTTACAGAACAGTAACAATTATTTTTTCATATACAACTCATGTCAAACTTGATTTTTCTTCCTTTCTCACTAACTTATTATTTGTGCATGGTTTTAGATTGCTAATAATGGCAACTTATCTCATGATCATTAATTTTATGTCATGATATATTTGTTTTTATATGTATTTTCTAAGGTATAAATATAAGTGTCGTTCACTTGTGGAGAAGGAATTGGCGAAGGAGAAAGAACAAGCAAATAAACAATCAAACATATCTCCATTTGAAGGTACTGGTCATGTTCTCCGTTCCACTCGACGATAACAATCTTTTAAATAATTTATATTCTGGGTGGCAAAAGTCTGTATCTGGATGTAATATCCTTCATCTGAAAATTTTCTTCACGATTTATAATAGGCAATAAAATAATTATTCAACCTCGTAGTATGCAATATAACAGTGGAAACTTGATGTTAGCGCCGGAAAAAAATGTTGCATTAATTTATCGAGCTATGTTCTGTATTACAAATGTTCACTCAATGTAAAATTTAGACGAATTTCGTTATGGTGAAATTTTTTTAGTTTTTTTGGTAATATCTAATAATTCAATCTGATCTTATCTTATTTAGACTTGCTTACTTTCATCAAAAAATAAATTGTGAAATACTTATTCGACTTGATAGTGTGCACCTGTAAGGCACGTGCGGGTCAGCCGGATATCATGATGCACGTCAAGAAGCGACATGAAGTGATTCCTGGTAAAGATTACCATCACAGATAGAATTAGAGATCAATTAAAAGCTAACATACTACTGACTAATACATTCAGGTCAAAGTGAAATGCAGAGTGAGAAAGATTCTGTATATAATGGCGTGAGATGAGGTAGTAGGAACGAACTTGCATAAAAGTTACGCCAAGAAAATCAGTATGTCTGATCGAGTTGGGGCATATATTCGGTCCGTGTATCTGATCAAGTTGAGGTATATGTACTAGAAAAGACTCTTCAAAGCATCTCATTCGATCAGCGCAACGGAGCTTGTAGAACTTCACACCTAGTTCGGGAACAATGCGCTACATGAGTCTAAGATTTATCTTGGACGTGAAGCAACGCCTCATACTGATGAAGAAGGTGAAGGACGTGAGATAGATCAGACAAAGTGGAGGCAGAAAATGATCTCTGAGAATATTGACTCCCTCATACTTGGAGTTGTAAACCAAGCGGCGGGTGAATGTGCCGCACAGAATCTCCCGTAGTCGATTACTGTTCTTGCAAATTTTGCAAGGCAGCTACAGGTAGTACGACAATGCGATGAAGACATGACAAGGCGAGAGAAGAAGGTGGAAGGCAAGCATAGAAAAGAAGATAAGTTTGAATAATTTCTACAAAATTCTCATAGAGTGGTATTTGGTCGGTGAAACACTTGTAGATAAAAGACCTGAGCGGCCAAGAAGTGTATGAGGAGTAAGAATCTCATACTTGCTTCCAAATATGACTGTCATGAGGCCCTAAGCATACTGAAAAACGTGTGAGAGTTTGTGAAAGTAAAATAAAAAGTTATGAGTCCAGATACGCATTCAAAATCCAAAACGCCAGATTTGAGGTGTTCAAAAGGTTTTACAGGAAACTAAGAGAAAAGCCTGATAGCCACAATAAAGGAAAGAAGGAATCAGAGGGCGTAAACCTCGGTATTAGCAGCTGATATTGCTGGATTCACCTTTAACCCTACTATTTTAATGAACCTCTGGACTTCTTGGCCATAGCTCTATTTCATCGGTAGCAAGAGGCTTGAGATCATCTACAAGTAATAAATAGTCAATTACATGTATTCATTGATCGGTCAAAACCGCCACCTATGCGTATCTGATAATGAGTCTACGGCTCGGAAATGAAAGATGATGACAATCGGCACAATGAATATCTGGAAAAATTTGCTCCAGATTATGAAGTGCACGATACTTTCCCATCTGAAGTTGAATTTAGGAGATAGTTTCCTATTTGCCTAACTGAAAGGTGCGGCCCTGATACAATCTATAACTTCTTCATTAAGAAGGGCACATCTTTACACTCAAACCTATAATAACAAGACGGATTTGATTTAATAGAAGGAAACAGAACCAGTAATTCTTCAGAGAGACGATATATCTGACTCCAAAAGGTGTCCCAAACAAAACTAGTAACTTCAGACCAATAACCTGCATGTCAAATCTTTACAAGTTGATAGCGAAATGTGTGGCACGAGTCATGCAATTAGATATTGCCACGAGAAAGCTGCTTCAGACAACCATTTAAGAACTGTTGACCAGATTCAAGGTGCATTGGTGAGAATAGAGCAATTAGCTAAAACTGCTTCAAACTGTGAGAACTTCATCAAGGCGGTAAACGAGCACGCCATAGGTTAATAAACTATTATATTAGGGTGCTCAAATTGAAACCAGAGGATTTCAAGGAGTTGACCACGATATCAAGCAGTTACTAAATAAGTGCAGAATTCATAGTTAACCTGTATGATTAGAGAGATTGTATTTGCTGAGCGAAGAGCTAAAACATAGGCCATCTGGTAGCGCAGGGCAAGAAAATGTTATATCAAGACTATACAAGAAGACACGATGAGGTCCTGCGTGTATCCGTTTAGAACCTCGCAAAAAGTATGGTCTGAAAACATTTCGACGCATGCGGAGCCACTTCGTTCAGGAAATCTTTGCTAATAAAAACGTAGAAATCGGAATTGATACGCAAATAATAACAGCAGTCAGAATAAAGGCAGATCGACTGAATATCTGGTGTAGGACAAGAAGTGACACGAAGTGCTCCTGACAAAGATTGATATTACTGGTTAGGACAAATTGATAGCAATCGAGACCGAGAAGAACAGAAAGTATGATCTACTGGCTGATAAACTGGGGGCAAAGATGAAATGCAGAACGAAAATAATGACGTATGTGATGACTTGAGATAGGATGATAAAGAATTGCCACAAACGTTACGCAAAGGAAATCAGCGTATATAATCCCGTTGAATATATCCAATTGGATTCCATGAGGCTAAAGCAAGAGAGATCAGCACAACAAATTTGAGCGCGAATCAAGTACAGCCAGTTTAGGATTACGATCCAGGGCCAAAATCAATAACGCAGATAAGAAGAATAATCTTGTGCGATATTAATTTGGTTATACATTTGGTATGTGTTCTGTATTACAAAGCCTCGTACATAATATTAACAAGTATATATGACTGGTCAAGAGGAAACTTTTCGTCGTATAGTACTATAATGATATTGGTTCCTGAGGTGTAACCGGAAGCATAGTATACGACATGTGGGAAACATTTGTGCAGTGTTTCATGTATGAATGACTACATACTCTGTGAAGTTAGTCTTGAACAAAGCTGCAGAGGAGAAGATTAGAATCAACAAATTTTAAGCGGCTGTTCTCTTTCTTAAATATATATGCATGTATGAGTGAGTGGTCTTTGCAAACTGATAAGTGTTATGCTTCTTTAGCTTTCGCCCCTAAACATTTGCGATTTGTTTCATTTCATGTTTTTCTTGTTTGGATTCAGTCTAGTTAATTAGTATATTTCCTTCGTTTACGTTTATTAATCTTTGTTTACGTTTCGCTATCATTATTTATATACTCAATTGCAATTATTGTAATTTTTATTCCACAAATGTATTTAGTGTCAGTTACTGTCAGATTACTTTCGACGATTAAAACATGCAAAATTTAGCAAATGCTAGCCAAACTTATTGTTTATCATAAATATTTTTACTTAATTATTATGCATCAGAAAATTTTGGCGTAAAAACTGAATAAGTTTTCAGTTTTAAACGATATTAGCTCTGTTCAGGCTTTTAGAAGCCTTTTATCTCTGAAATCAAGTTAACGTGCAGTAATATGCGTCAGAGCAGTTTTTGCTTTGAAGCTTTCATGAAAACAGATTCATCTTGTATGTGTAGAAAGTAGTTGAGAACGTTCTAATTTTTTCGCCACTGTTAAATTTGAATTATCTGTGATTCCATCCTAATTTTGTTTACTTGAGACAATCTTGGATCTAGCCTTATGATCGATCTATCAATATGAATGATTTATATTTTGAAAAGATATAATCAATCTCTAAATCCTTTTTGAGATTAGCAGTGCTGTCAGTTCCTCGTTGTAGATTCAGTAAATTTTGAATTAGATCATTTCTGAGATGCTTCCCCTTACATTAGAGTTCACTCTATCTGGTTATATGCCTAGATAATATCTTAGAAGTGTGAATCATACATGTATGAATGGATTTAGATTCGATCATTTCGTTCTTCTTTTTTTTTGCAGGAAAATAGTGAAGCCTTAAAGCTGACAGACGTGTGGATTAAAATTGTTGTTAAAGCAAAAGATCGATACGATTAGTATTTATAATTAATTGTTTATAAATTACTTTTAATTTTAGCTACAAATAATCCAAAAAAAAATTAGAAATGAATGGGAAAAAGTCGGTGAAAAATTGTTGCAAGGTGTGGATTTTTATTAAATTTATAAAATTTAAATGATTAAACAGTTAATAAATTCATTTAAAAAAGAATCTCAAAAAAAATTTCAAAATTTAAGAATTAAATTTTTTGCAAATATTCTTGACCGCAAGCAAATACATTTTATACTGTTTCTTATTAAATTGATAGTAATCTCAGAAACAACAGTTAAAAGATGTCTTCAAATATAATTTCCGGAGAATTTTATTGAACTTAAAAGTTATCAGAAAACAGAAAATTCTGATTTACGTCTAAAAGTTGACAAAATTTAGAACAGTGAGTGCTCTTTGTCAGCTGCTCGCAAGCAACGCACGAATTCTCAAAAGGTTTTCACTAATGTTTGTTGCATAAACTTTTTTGAATATCTTTCAGTATTTTGAGTTTTTTTTGGCTGTTGGAAAGTTACTTACTGAAAATATATTCATACATAACGATGGTTTCCTTGAGATATGCAAAGAAAGTTTGATTTATTACTCATTTCTTTCTTCAATAATTATTGCTTTTGTTATTAGAAACAAATTGAAAATTAAACACAGTCTAAAATTTTTGATCAAATAAAAAATATAAAAAAATACCAAGAAAAAACCAAAGACCATTTAATATTTTTGTACATTTAGTATCTTCCAAAGTTAGATAGATATTAAATGTCCAAAAATATACCACCTTAGTAAACCTTAGTAAACTGATAGCAAGAATTTATTTACTCTTTTTCCTTCGTTGTAAATTTTTATCCCTTTCAGATATATTCATCATCAAGTTCCATTGTATCAGTTATTTGGGAAATTATCAGTTTTATATATTTTTTCATCGAGCAAATTTTGATTACAATACTGACTTATTCTTCGAAAATCAGTACAATCAGTTAGTCCACTTTCGAATACTACAGAAATCAATCATCATTCAATCATACTCTCAAATTGATTAACATATTTGAATTAATTTTATCATCGAAATTCGAAAGTAAGTAATAAATCATTTAGGAGGCGAAATGAAGATATCCAAGAAAAATACATCACAAAGTATCGAAATTGTTGACAAGCACGAAGGAATGAAGGAATTTAAAAATAATGAAATATGTATGAAAAAAAAAGCCAAAAAGCCACCTTTGTCTAGTATTCCTCAAAAAGTTTGTTAATCTAATTATCGAAGAACTAATTATTAATTATAATTAGTCTTTGTTAAACAACTTGTTGTGTCATCTGTTATAAATTTCATTTGAGTAACATTTTGAAGTAACGAACTCTCAACTGATTTCTTTATGGAACTTTGATTTGAAATTTATATGCATTTAATTTTGTAACTCTACCAAATTTTTTATTTTGTTAACTTATTCAAGTAGTTTTACTTTTAGTTATTACTTAAATAAACTCACAAAAAATCAGGTGAATTATATTTTACGTGCTGGAAATACTGTATTTATAGATAGACGCATTTAAAAACGTAGATTTTTGGCTTAGTAAAAACAGCAACACTGAGCAAAGCAAAAGCTTTTCGTCGGGAGATTCTGGTATTAGCTCATGCCCTGTTTCACGTGCGAACACGAATGATACATTATCAGAATGCTGTACAGAGGAATTCAGGGCGTTCCAGAATTCACATCAACGTCCTTCGAGGTTTCAAGAACGATGTACAAGTAACGAATGTGGTAAAGCGATTTATTTTTTTTCAAATACTGAACACGAATACTTTTTTATATAATCTAATTCCTATTTTATTAAATAATAATATCGAATAAATTTTTATCAAAAAAAAAATTGAGGAATTTTTATCACTTAATGCAATACATATTTTTAATTATGTTTATCTTGAGACTATAAAATTTCTCATTAAATCCTGAAATACATTTGAATTCCGGATATGAACTAATAATCATTTAGAGTCCGAAGAAGGAAAACAAAATGCAGTTCATTCGTCCCGTGAATCTGCCCGAACACGTCACAGATGTTCAAAGTCATATCGAAGATCGGTTCGGCATGACCTCTCAATTACACGTCATATTGTTCGAGTTCGAAATGAGCAAAATAAACGAGCTCAATCCGTTATGGCAGCCATTCGACTGAAACAACCAGAATCGCAAGCAAAATCAGAAAATAGCAAGAAAAATTCTACATTTTACGAAGACTATCAAGATTTTTACTGAAATACTTCTCAATAATTAGGTATAATGCTGAGCAGAAAAACATAATAAATATGAGCAAAGTTTGTAAATATGATTTACATTTGCGTTCCATAAAAAATTAATTCACTATCCTGAAAGTAATGATTGATTTCAAGTTAGCTATAAATTATACAAATTCTACGTTAGAAATTCAGCGCTCGTTTTAGATAAGATTAGAAACAATAAATTTATGCCCAGCAAAATTCAGCAAAATTATATTAACGCAAGAAATAACGACGAGTTTTTGTATTTCATTATTATCAAAGGCAAAAAATATTAATAAGGTATAAAAGTATTTTTTGAATACAGTAGTTTCAGATGCAAAATCGTAACTCCTTATCTATGCTAAATTTTTTAATTTAAGCAAATGTTACAAATGAAGTTTAATACAAAGTACTGAAAACAATTACTCAGTCTGTGTGATATTTGAATATAAAGTAGGAATATGTTTTGCTATAAATGCAGTCCTTATTCCTTATTTCTTGCAGAATATGTAAACCAACAAATCAAAAAAATTATTTCTTGTGAACTGAAGATTTGAATTTTAATCCATAAAGCCTTGATCCTCAATGTTGAGTATGAGAAATGAACTGTAAACAACTTTAGCTTGTTACGCAAGATCAATACGGTATGTTTGAGATCAACAACTGCACGTTGCATGCAATCCCATCCTCGATATAAAGATCATCCATCAACAAACAACTTTATCATCCATCAACAAACAGCTTTGTAAATAACTTATGGTTATTTACAAAGCTGTTTGTTGATTACTCAATGTGAATGCTTCATATAAAACCTGAGTAAGTGAAGTTGCATTTTCCAAGGAAGTCGTAGATTCTATAGCTTATAAACTTGCTGGATTCTTATTTTTCAGTCAAAGCTTCTACATGACGCTACTTCTAAAATATTTCGCTATTTTCATCCAATAGTCGCAAATATTAAGCGCAATATTTTAGAATAGCAAATTTGAAATTGTTAAGATATGTCGTTAAAAATGCACTCACCGAAAAATGCAAAGCAAAAAAATTCCTTTAGCACTTTTCTAATGAAGGCCAATTTACTTCAAGAATGTCAGTCTTTATTTTGCAGATGATAAATTGCTTCTATTTTTTACATATTCATTTTTATGAACAGTAAAGTGAAATATATAATAGAAGGCCTTCCAAATGCAAAAAATAAATCACTCAACAAAATCACTAAAGTTTATTTGAACCATTTTATTTTCTGCACACAAATTTAAGTCATATATACAAAGAATAATTAACTGCTGCAGTAATCTCAAGTTCAAAAAGAATTAGAAGTCACATTTTAGTGAATTGTTTTCAAAAAAAATAATAGTGAGGATTATTCAATATTGTCACGAAATACGGATCTGCAATTTTTAACGAGAAGAAAGCATAAAACTTGCTATGCTGAACAATTATTAAAATATGATCTTGCGATTTCATGCTTTTATAGACACGTCAGCTTCTCGTATTTTCCATTTGTATAAGGCATTCTCAACCTGAAAATTAATAGCACAATGAGAATAATAATAAATATATAGATGGAAATGAGAAAAAATAGGCTGAAATTGCTATCAACAAAATGAAAAGTACTCAAACTTCAAGAGCATCAATTTAAAGTGCAATAACACTAATGAATGTAAATTATCTGTGAATTAAAAATTATGGTATTGTTAACAGAATAAAGTAACGAAAAAAATACCCAAAGTTGAGCATAAATAAAATAATACCCAAAGTTGAGCATAAAAATAGTCAAGGAAGCACAGTAGTCCATAATAAATGAAAGGCAAATAATTTTATGCAAAATCACTTGAAGAATTACGACAGCAAGAATAAACCTTTACTAATGAAGTTCGAAAAACCGAAGACTTCTTTGCCCAATCTGCATTTTGAGGTACATTTCCCAGATATTGATAGCATTCGTGTAATGATCGCAAATAATTGGTGACCTCTTGTACAATCTGATAGTCACCTGACGAAGCCTATAAATTTCCTGTAGCGAATTTTCGCTTTCAACAAATGTAATCTTTTGATTTAAATATAAAGATTAAAAAAGCAGGTCTAAACTTTTTTCTTTCTTTCTCTTTCTCTCTCTCTATATATATATATATATAATCTGTATTTTTAGAGAGAGAGAGAGAGAGAGAAAGGTTTCAATATTCCTCGGCTTTGCCGAGATATTGAGCGATTGACCCCGAGGTTGACTCTGAGCGACTGTGTTAAAGAAACATAAAAGGAAGAGTAAAAGGAAAAAGTCCGCATTTGGAATCATAAATGAAAACAATGGAAAAATAGATGCGGTTGCAAAAAGCTATGTGAAGGGTGTGAGAGAACATACTGCCAGCGTACCGTAACCCGGTGCCAGCAAAAAGATCGCGCTTGAAGCACTCGTCCGTGGAATCGAAATTTCGCGAAGCAGGTGGGTGGGAGGGGTACTCAAAGCGGTTCTTGACTGATTTGGAAGAATGCCAAGAGGGGGACTGGCCATTGTGTCGTTCCCTGTATAACGAGAAGTATTACCCGCGAAGAACTGAAGAAGTAAGCGAATTCTGTAATCGTCAGCACTATAGATCGTCTGTGATGACATAATCCGATTGCAAGGCAGCTCCAGACAGCACAACAGTGTTATGAAAACATGGTAAGGCGAGAAAAGAATTTATCGGGGGAAGGGGGGGAGGGGGGTGGTGGGGTGAAACAAGCACAAAAAAGAAGATAAGTGTGAACAACTTCCAAAACTCTCCTCATAGAGTGGTATTTGGCCGGTAAGATAGTTGAAAGACATGAATCTCATACTTGCCTTCAAACGTGACTGTCATGAGGCCCTAAACATGCAAACAGAACGTATGAAAGTTTATGCAAGTAAATAAAAAGTTATGAGCCCAGATGTCAATTCGAAATTTAAAACGCCAGATTTGAGCTGTTCAGAAGGCTGCTTTATAGGAACCTAACTGAGGAACGACCTGTTAGCGAGAATGCACACACAGAAGAAATCAGAGAATCTAGGGACACATCCGGCATTCCAAAATGAAAGAAGAAAATGACAATCTGCACAATGAATATTCGTTTCAAATTATGAAGTGGATGATAGCATTTCCACACATGTAGAGCCACTCCGTTCAAAAAATCGTCACTAATGACAACGTAGAAATCAAAGTCGACACGCGAGTAAGAACTGCAATTAAAATAAAAGCGGATCAACCAGACATTTTAGTATACAATAAGACACGACGTGAAATAATCCTGATAGAGGTTGTCATCACTGGTTAAGAGAACTGCTTGATAGCAGCCGAGACCGAGAAGAAGCGAAAGTATGATCTACTGGCTAATAAACTCGAGGCAAAGATGATATGTAGAACGAAAATAATTTCGCATGTGATGACTTGGGATGGGATAGTATAGAACTTCCATAAACGTTAAGCGAAGGAAATCAGGGTATCTGATCACGTATAGGCATATATCCAATCGATAGTGCTCAAAAAAACCCTCTAAAGCATCTCATTCGATCAGCGCCGTGGATTCCGCGAGGCTAACGCAAAAAAGATCAGCACAGCAGAACTGAGAGCAGGGCGAGTGTAGCAAAAATGCCAGAATACGATCCAGCGTCAGATTCAATAATGAAAAAAAGAAAAATACCTCCAAATTTATTTTAATGTATAAATTTATATTTATAACTTACACCATTTTTGAAGAAATAAAAGATTTTGTAATACTATAAGTTCATTTACCAACCTCACTGATAGCAAATCTCATCAATTCGCCACCAATATCGAAAAGTCCCATCAAGTATGTTACTTCAGGTAATGTAAGATATAGACTGTAAGAAATATTCCATTCTTCGATTAAATGCAGACAGAATATAGTACAAATGATGACATAAAAATGCTTGCTAATCAACGCTGGCCATTTAAAGTATGATAAAGATTGCAATGTGCAATTAAAGGACATCAATTTAAAAAACCTGATATTATTTAAGGAAATATCCTTTAATTAATTAAAAGTTATCGAGATGAATAAAATAAATTAACTAAAATACATAAAAATAATATTCAAGTTTTAGTAAAATTTGAGGAAATTACTTTTGTGTCGACGTTTCAGCACAATCATTAAACTGCAATTTACTGACTACTTCATCGTATAAAAGTAGTTCACGCGACACAAGGAATTTATAAAATGCACAAGCTTCAATGAATTCTATAAGCAAACAGTTTCAGACTTTTGATTTTTCAAATACCACAAAAAATTTATATTCCTGAAGTACAGTAAATTTATATTTAGTTTATCAAAAGCAGAAACATATCTCATTATTGCTTAACACATATGAGAATGTAGAAATCTCAATAATTTTCGTCGCAGCAGTAGTCAGTATAAAAAAACAAATAGAAGAGTGAACTGAATTCACGGTCAAAAATGAAAAAGAATGAAAAACCTTCGAGTGCCCAGTCATAGGATTTTAGATATAAATAGTGATCTGAACCATCAAGTGCTTTTGCTATCTGCAGTAAGAATTTATTACGTGCCGCAGTCAGACGACAATTTGCTTCATCCAATAATTTTTCTAAATTATTAACAATAAATAATTAGTTACATCTAAAAAAGTACTCGAAATTAAAAATTGCAGTGAAAAACAAAATATATGCCATTAAAAAATTGACTGCTGATGTACGCAACTGAAAACAATATCATTACTCTGATTTTTATTCAAAATCACTCAAGTTACAATAAATTTTTCGGACGAATGTTCTAAACCTTAAAAATTTGAGCTGTTAATAAAAAAATACTTTTCATGCTTGGTGTTGCCATAACAGTAATACGATGCATAAGAAAAATTATCCGTTTACATTCAATGATTAGGTCCCGGGATAACTTTACTACACTTTCATAACGATCACGTTTTCCATCCAATTCTGTAATAAAAGTAGTGATTCTTTAGAAAAAAGAATGAAATACATGAAAAAATTGGAAGGTACCACCACTAAAAAGTTATAGAAAACAATCCCACCACATGACGAACTTCATCTTTGCAAAATATGTTATTTATTTATAGGACAGACTAAGCATCTACATGAAAATGAATTCATAATTCGCTTATACTGCGAAAACCACCAAACCTTTTCGATAAGCAATAAAATCCATTTTTTCCTCATCGGTTAAAGTCCTTTGCTGTTTATTCAGGACGAAACCAACATTACTATCACCCTTATCACGCATGTAATTAATTTCGTTATCTTCGTAATGCTGGAGTTTTCCATCATACGACATCTATTTAAAAAAATTTTACAGGATGCCACCAACAATATCTTTATCAGTGACCACAATTGTTCTAACTTTTGTTACCATTCTCATAATATGACTCACGCAGTTTTCCTTACTCGACATCTACTCAGAAACTTTGACGTTTATTACATGACCTCACGTAAAAAGTTATTTTCATTACTTGGTATCAGCAAAAAAAATTTTTTCTTGAAAACATTTACTATCTACATAATTTTTCAGTCAATGAAACTCAAAGACAAAATACTTCATCAAACCAAGCCTAATCTTAAACACTGAATCTGATATAAAAATCAAATGGTTTCAAGTACAAAATGTATGCAAATCATTAAGTGCAGAATAATTTTAAAAAGTATGCAAGTACTTTATCAGATATGTTCAGTTTCAATTTAGTAAAGAATAACAGAAAGAGCTCAGAAAAATATTTCTATAACACTTCGGATAGAACAGTGGTGAAATAAGAATAAAGGCAAAATCATGAGAATGTAAGCACAAAATTAAAATTTTGACCCATACAGAATGATTGCTAAAAACTTTTTTCACTTTCTGCAATTCAAGCAACAACAAGTAGAGAAATTTTAGCACAGAATGTAGACATCTATAAATAAAATGATTATCCACGTTTAATTACTTTTTTATTTTCAATTTGTATCACGTTTCTCGATCCTTCTCAACTGCTTTTTTTTCGTTCTCTTTAACTTCAGTGTATTCTTGATTACTTGCACAACTTCTGCTTTTCTTGCATTTTCTTCTCTTCTTCTTTCTTGTTCTTTACGTGCTGCTAATTTCTCCTGCAATTGATGAGCTTTTAAAAGATACTGAGAGTGGTAATCAGTTAGTTCAAATAGTTTTTACAAAAAGGTTTTTCCACTGACCACTACATTTAATATTTTCATCTAAGAAACATTTTGTGATGAATTTCATGACAAGCCACGAATGCACCTTTTTGTTATATTTTTAATATTAATAAAAATTAAATTACAATAAATACAATCGCTAAAATCAAATTTACTGCTTTTTTTGCTGCTAGTATATCTCGAACTTCTTGCTGCAATTTCTTCACATCCATTAATTTTTGTTTCGCTTGCATTTTACGCTCCCAAGATGATTTCAATGGTTTCACTTTTATAACAGCGGAGGATCTATAAGATATGTTTTTTACAAACAGAAATGTACAACAATACTCAATTCACAGTAATTTACAGATTTTAATCAATTACCTTTCCTTCCGGACTGATTTCCACTTGCGACCTGACTTGACCGTACGAAGTTGATCTGTGTTATTATCAGTGATTGTTGGAACAGTACCTGGGCAAGAATTATCAATATCCATAGCATTACTGTCCCACTGTTCAGCAATTACCGAAGAAGTCATTTGGTTTTAACTGATAGCCGGCTTTTGCTTCAAAATTCTCAATTCTTGAAAATTTTCCACTACCAAGTAACAAACAATAACTCTGAAAACAAAACTCAAATTTAAAAACATACTCGATAACACCTCAGTCGTCCACAGTCAAGTACAACAAAACAAGACATGTTACGAACTAAAAGGAATTCAAAATTATTCATACTAAATCGTAAACCAATAGAGAGAATAAATTTAACGGACCGTAAGAAAATGATACAAATAGCAGTTGAAAAGACTAAACTCATAATGTGCAAAAGTTAGGAACTTGGCTGGTAAAATATAAGGGTGTTAAGGGATCTGAACACGAGATACCAAAAGTGACGAATTATTCAGATGGAAAATTTTAAAATAGTTCATAGAAATGGATTTGTTTCAATTTTGGTACATATTCTAACTATGAAGTCATTTGATAGAAATTGAAGCAATATATTTTGTCTACTAATCATAAAATTTTAGAATACAGTTCAGGATTAAACATAATCTTATTTGTTACCAGAATTGCTGTAAAACTTACGATTGATGTAATCGACAAATAACTTAGATGGTGCAAACAAATATGTGTAATAGTAATGTTTATTTACAAATTTTTAGATGTTAGATATTATTTATAGGAACAATGAGCTCACACATAATTCGCCGTTGTCTTTCACTCAGTACTTTTCGAACGGCGGAGCACACTGTTCGTCCACCTGTTCAGGTATAAATTTTGAAAGTTTGAAATTGAAAATTTAGACTTTTTATTTGCAAAGATATGCTATTGGTTATTTGTCATATTAATTGAAATCATTGCCTGTAGAATTCCTGAAAATTAAAGCTAAATAAAAGATTGATCATGACATATATTATTTGCAATAGTTTATTCATATGATTGTGACGTGTGGATAAACTATTGAAAATCAAATGTGTCAGTTAAATCAAATATGCTCATATTCCAGCTTATTTCAAGATTCTCATATAAACAGCTGCTATATTTGCATTACTATTGAAAGATTGCTATAAAAGTCTTCTTTGTAATGAATTTCATAACTAGGCTTACGCCAGTTTTAATCGCAACCAAAGTTTTTATACAGTAAAAGCATAGAAATAGAATATGAGTTTCATTGTAATTCTGACTCATAATACCTCATACGAAAATTCTCAAATATTTTCCAGTTGTTTTTGGCATTAAATTTTCAAGATTAGAATGACGAAGTTTTGAGGTTCATGGTATGGAAGGACGGTATGCAGTGGCATTATATTCAGCAGCTTCAAAAGATAGAGTGCTTGATATCGTTGATAAAGATCTGAAATTAGTGGAAAGTGTCTATCGTACTAGCACTAAATTTAAGGTATGTTGAGTATTTAACTGACAATATTAATTTGCGGTGAATGAGCTATCGGTGCTTAATTTTTTATTTTTGTCAATTCATAAATTTTTGATGTCAGACAAAGATGCCGAATATCATCACATATTTTGTATAAAAAACTTTATTCATCATTCTTATCAGTCAAGGATATGAAGAATCGTAATTGTCATCAGCATAGCTTAAACACATTTGCAACAAGTAGTATTTCAGTATTGGCTTTAATAATTTTGTTTCAGAACTTTGTGCTGAATCCGACGTTAAAGCCGTTATCGAAAATAAATGTTGTAAAAGATGTTGCTCAGACATTGAATGTTAGTAAACAAATGCTCAATTTTTTAGGTTAGTTGTTCTGGATCATACATATTCCTCTTCTTATTATTAGTGTTTGATTGATCCGACCATCATACATAGCACGTTATTAATTATTTCGCTATACTAATTCACATTGGAGATATATTCATAGAAAAATGTGATGGATGGTAGCTGGATCAATTAAAGTATGTAGATTATTATTTCATAGATATAATTTTATCTAAAAAATTAGTTGTTTAGCTTTCTTTAGATATATTTTCATTACTACTGTTTAAAAAAATACTTATTTGATGAGTGGAGTTAGAAAAGGTGACTATAATCAAATTAGCATATATGCCCTGCGATGTTGTAGGCTTGTCATATGTAATGGCATGCCATGACAATATTTTGGTTCTGTCTCGGTAATAGAGATATTTTATTTTCAAAATAAAATTCAGAATTGAAAATTTCTGTTTGATCTGAATTTTTCTTGCTAGATTTGTCCGATTATTGTTTCGTTGAACAATTTTTAAAAAAATCTGCAAACTTTCACTTTGTTTCAGTCCCTGTCTTTGTCTGTTATGCTGACTGCTTTTTCCATCAACTTACGTTCTTCATTGGCCTTGATTGCATGCTTGTAAACGTTACCATAGTGCATTTTATACCACTGAAATTAAAACATATGTAATTTTCGAGTGCTGCTGTATCCTTGAGTTGTAACTAGCAAAAGTAATTAACCCAAAAATTATTGAATCAATATTTTGTAAGTATAAGATTCTAGTTACATAAGTTTCCTGCACTAATTCATGTTGTAATGTGTGATCACAAAATATTAGAAATTTGAAAGATTATTTTCATGTGCTGAACGTGCAGATGTATTATTTTGCCATAAGGTCGTTGAAATACGTGGAAATCATTCTTCATTTAAAACTAACTCTTTGCATTTCTTCATCTTTCTCGTTGCGGAACAATTCCGAAAGCAGAGATATCCTTTCTTCTGAAATATTTTTAACTTTTGTTGGCAGAAATCAGTTTTTAGTTGCTGTATTTTATACTTTAAATCGATTGTAAGCTTAAGAAAATGAAATATGAATTAGAACGAGTATTTCACTTACTTTTGTGGTAATTTTGTTTATCATGGAATTGTTCTGAATTATTAAAATAGAGTAGTTAAAACTGGATGTGATTGTAACTGAATATACATGATAATCTCAAAGATAAATATTTTAGTAATTTGGGAAAAAATTGCTAAAGTAAGTTTGAAATAAAATTGAAATATTTTTTACCTGGTAGGTTGCCGGGAGTCAGGTCATTAACGATAGGGGGCAAATTGTAATCCAGTTGTTTAGATGTTTCCAAGATGTTTTTTTCATCAAAAAATATTCTCTTCAATGAAAATATTTACATGATATTAATGATGCATAATGTTCAATTTCAAATTAGTAACTGAAAAATTGCATAGGTACAGAAAAATTTGTGATTTGTCATAAATGAATGTCTTAAGGTAAGCTTAAAATCAATTAATTGTTTTCAAGCTTGGATTGAATTTCGTTTTCTGGAAAATTCACTTTTTGATTAGTTGTTGGAGATTTTTAAATTTATATATATATGTATGACGATTCCTTTAAAACTGTTTTCTAATAATTTGAACATACTTCCTTGCGTGTAAGTTTTATTCCATGCAAGTAAAACCATTCCAACATAACAGTACTTTGCAGCAAAGCTATTAAACCTGAAGTTTTCTTTTCAGGATGTTTTTGATTCAAATTATTAGTGCAGAAATAAAGTATTTAACTCGGTTGAAATTCATTAAAAAATTGAGTTATGCTCTGACATTGAACTTGGGGCATAACTCTGTAACTTAATTCAGGAATTAAATTATTCACCTGAAAGAGTAGCTGGCCAGAATCTTAAACTTATTAGGTACACATTGAGGCTGTTAAATAGTCCGAACATAGCGACCGCCATCAGGCTTGGTTTGTAGTTAAGAGTGTAAAATGATGATGTCAAGGTTTCCGAATCCAATGCGTTATCTAAATTTCATTGTATTGACATTTCCATATGCATAGCACCGATAGTACGGATTCAATTTGTACTTAATGCGCTTACTTGTTTCGATTTCTTTAAAAAGTTCCTTGAAATTATTTGATGGATCATCATATCGTACGCTTTTCTTCATCTGGAATTGGTTCAAAACTGCTAAATAATGGATAATAGAGAGGGTAATTTAATTTAAGAGAAAGCAATAAGTTTAGTTATCAAAATGAGTAAAATAGTTAAAATAAGAAAAAAGAAAAATGATTATTTATGCAATTTTGAGAATATCCAAAAAATCTTCCAAATAACAGAAACTAACCGCCGATTGGTAGCTGATAAAATACAATTAATGGATAGTTTTGAATCTTTTTTCTAAGGTTATCAAACCTTTCATGTAAATGACGTATTGTCTGTTGCAGAACTTTAAAATTATTGTACTTCATTTTTCTTAGCTGCATATAATGTAATCTTGAGCAAGAAAATCTTTGTTGACTGATAATGCTACAGAATTTTCAAAAAATTAAATCTGTATGACTTTACTTTGTAAGTCAAAAGAAGAAAAGATATTAATTTAAAAGATTATAGCAATTTTTTGTTTGTATTGCTCAAAGCATGTTTTTCGTTTTCATATCGTTTCATGAATAATCTAAATCTTTAGTTACATAATTTTAAGTATTGCTGACTGAAAATGGAAGACTAAATCACCTGGACGATATTATAAAATCATTTGACTCAATCATGCGAGCTCATCGTGGCGACTTAATTGTCGAAGTGGTTACTGCTGAGGTGAGAAAAATAGTTTTATAATACTAGTTTGTAGAGCATAGAGAACTGTTGTAGCATTTTCTAAGTTGTATTGAGAGTTAGTCATGACATGGAATTACTGATCATCATGATGTTGAGGAATAGTAATAGAAAAAAGTGCGAACCATAAGGAGATGGTTCAAATCATATTAAAAAAAATCATACATTTGTAAGAAAATTAATGTTTTGATTTAGTTTTCTGCGTCATTTGAAAATCAGAATCATATAACATATTTTATGTTTAGCCTCTTAGCAAGAAACATGAAGCAGGTTTGAAGGAATCGTTGAAGAAATTCGCACAATCTGGACAAAATTTACAAATTAAGATGACTATAAAACCAAGTATTCTTGGTGGCATGGTGGTAAGTATTGGAGATAAGTTCATCGACTTGAGTATAAGTTCACAATTCAAAAAATTTGAGGCGATTTTGCAACAATCCGCGTGATTTTCGATATTTCATGATGTTTGCTTTTTGTCTTGTTTGATCGTTATTTTATATAGGAATGATGTTCTTTTATTGCATAGAGGTAGCTAACATACTGCTTTCTGAATTTGGTCATCAATTAACAAGAAAATCAAATTGTAAAATAAAGATCACTGTTTAGTGTAGTTTTCACTGGCGAAAAGTGCATTGCTTACAGTTTTTGGTGTAATAGTAATAAAAACTTTTCAGTTAGTAATTTCCGGAGTCAATAATTTTTGCATGATCTGCTACCTACTATTCTTTTAGGATTTGTTTTCTTTGAATTACAGTGGCTGAAATATGAGCAGCTTTTAGGTGTATAATGGATGACTTAAAAATTTGATGCAATCAATTTAATTGCAGAAAAAGCAATTGATAGTTTGAAAATAACATTAAAATAATAAAACAACTCCAACACTGTGTTTCATGGAGTCAATTTGTATATGAACTTGTCCATACTTTCCAAATATATTTTATTTTTGGCATTAAATAATACTGATGTTGCCATAACAAATATGAGAAAATCAATTAAATATAAATCATGTTGGGTTATTAACAAAATGCAGTGCAAGTCCCATGACATTACTAAATCAGACAGCTTAACAGCTATTCTTTTTACTGCAATGTACTATATTTAGTTCTGCACATTTTTTTCATATTTGAATTACCATTAATTATAGAAGGAATACTAACTACGAAAAAATCTGAATAAGTATAAAACGTTCAAAACAAATGCATATTATATCCATCATGTTATACCTGTTTAGCAATCAAAAAATGGGGAAAACAATATTTCTAAAAGCTGCTTAGACTTCGTATTCGTCGCCGTGACTTCTTTCCTTGATCTGAGATGAAGAAGATGGAGTCTAATACCGACACTCGTTAGTCCGTCGCACAGAATTTCAAACAAGAGTTGACAAATTACCATTCTCATAATAATATTTTTGCTTCTGGGTATTTCTAGAATACCAGGCATAAATGCAGTGAATTAAACCAGCGATACAAGTAGCAGTTGAAGTGATACTAAACACCGCACCGACATTGCGAGAAAAGACACCAGCTCGTTCTGGTAGTACCATTACCTGTAGTACACTACCTGAAATTATGCATAACATAAGAAGACCGCTATTTTGAATTTAGCACAGTCAACTGGTGAAGTATTCCAATCAGTAAAAGTTTGTCAATGAGTAAAGTGTGAAAAAGCTCAAAGATTTACACAATCCCGAAACTGGAAAATTTTCAAACTATTCGAAGTTTCAATCCATTCCGATTAACCATAAATTTAGAATATCAACACATCAATCATTTTTGATGCGAACTAATCTGAAGAAGTTTCGGGTAGATTTTATAGCATAAACTTTATTATTCAACTTTGGCGTTTTGAAATTATTCGGTTATACATAACTGAAAAGTTCATACCAACAATGAAAAAGAGTACGCCAAGAAACCAGACAATATAAACGCAGCAACGTAAGTACCGGCCAGCACTTAGAAACGATAATACTCTAAAATAAATTTTTATTTTACAGCCAGTTCCTACATGACGAATAATTAAGTAATCACAGAATATATTTTGTAATAATTTTGCTTCAACATTTGGCATAAAATTTAAATTATGTAAAAGTCAATAAAACTCAATTAAACTCACAGACCAAACATGAGGTATCAAATTTGCGTAAAAAATTTGCTATGAATTTTATGTTTATTTTATTTTTTATGAATTGCAGTCAAGATTTGCTAATATAATTAATTTTGAGATTGTTTTCTTGTTGGATTACCTAATTGATTTGAACTGATGAATTCCACTAAACAATCTTTTACTTGTAGTTTACAAAAATTGAAACAAAATGTTTGCCAAAGAAATTATTGATTTAGAACATTCATCTAAGTATTAATAATAATTAATCCAAGAACACTGGAAGCTTAAAGAAATGAAGCGGAAAAATTTCTGCTAATTTGGCGTGCAAATTTTCTAGTATTACTAAAATGGACTGAGAGAAACATCTATTGAAAAATATACATTTTTTAAGTTCAATAAAACTAAAGGGATAATAAGTTACAAAAATATGCTTTGTGTTTGCTCTTAATCAATTCCAATGATTATTTCCTATTCACTGCATAGAACTATAATTAATTTTTTCTTGACAACAATAATAAGTACTAGCCTTGAGATTAAAATATGAGGTGACAGACAAAAGACACTTTGTTTATACAATAATTTCTAAGGTCAAAGTCATCAGTCAATATTAATGAGTGAGGTCAGAAGGTAATCACTTCTGGCGTTTACTGATTTAAAAGGAAAGTAAAGGAATTATACACTGTCAGTCTGAAAGCACTGTTAAACGATATGTAATTGTTAACATTTGTTTATATTGCAGTGTGTTGCCCCTTGATATTTTGATCTTGCTAAAATTACTGAAAGCATTTAGAAAAGTCGAAAGCCAGTTATACTCTCTAGAGCAATAATTCGAGAAGTTAATATTTATTGCCTTAAATGCAGAGTTTTTTTTTTCGATTCTGCATACAAAAATAAATAATTAGTAAGCAATAAAATAATTATAAAAACTTGAGAAAATATTTGGATAGCAATAAAAATCATAGAAAATGGTAATTTATAGATAACATTGCGATAGATTGTGAAGGTCATAAAAATTCAGCTTTTATTTTCGGTAATTCTTAAGGCTTAGTCAGAAGTATTTAGCAAATTTAAAAAGTTATCGTCTTAAGTCAATGAATAAACTTTAATTGGCCTACAATTTGAAATAAAATTGGTACTAACCTTTTAACAGCCAATGGATTGGTTTTTAACATTTTAAGAGCAAAAAAAAATTGTAAAGTTGAGAGCAGAAAAACAGAAATGGATGTGATAATTGCAATTAGCGCTATTGAACGGGCTATTTCACACATGACATTACGTAGGTTCACAGAAGTCACCACAGATAAACCAGCTGAAGTTGATCTTCCCTGGACAGATATCAAATTAAGAAATGCCAGCAAGGCAAAAAGAATCGACAATACAGACATCATTCCAAGCGTTGCCAATGAGAATTTGACCTAAAAAAGCTTGTAAAGTGAATGTTTTTGAAAATGATTTTTTACATTACGAATAAAAACTGCAAATGTTTGATTACTTTTTAAAAAGATGCGGTAATAGATGGCATGAAGAGTTAATAAGACTTTGAAACTTAAGCTTGAATAATAAAAATTCTGTACTTCAATTTGAAAAAGTACCTTAGAAATGTTCATTCCAGTATCAGCATGCTCCGTATGGAAATTAGTATCAGCTTCCATTGAGAAGTTTCGTAGCATAGAATGAATTCTGCGAATGTTAGGTGATTCTGCCACCTTAATCTTGTACATATTAACTGATAATTTGACGTAAAAACTTAGTTTTCAATTAAAATAGAATTATTTGAATAATTTATCTGCTATAAAAGAATTTCTCAAGTTTTTTATGGAATTACATGAAATAAGCATCTGTTTAAATCTTTAATTTTCTACTAACAAAAATTAGTGCAAAACTTAGCAAAGCTGTGGGCTTAGCTGGAAAAAAGTTACATATGTAAATTAAAATACTACATAATATATTAAGTGTATTTATTTTAAATTATTTCTGATACTGCACTCTGAATAAATCTCTCAATACCTTCCAATTTTGAACAAAATATTTGTTCCAGAAGGCAGATGGATAAACGGACACGATATTACAATCTCTCAGATTTTTGGTGGGAATTGTCAAGACACTGTTTATGAGTGAATAAATAGTATTTAGCGATACTGTATTACTATATTTACATGTGCTGTTTCTTACTATTTTTGAAATTTGTTGAAGTGATAATGCAATTTTGTATTCTTACCAGCTCAATAATTCTTTCATATCAATCAAAATTTTTCAGATAACATCCTACTTACTATTTATTGCATCAGTATATTTCGCCTTTTAAATCGTTGAAATCAGTCAAGTAGTAATGCAGTGATACAACAACCAAATGTTTGAATTTGATATTATGTGCTTGGAATTATGTTCGAAATTATCAAATGTTTAAAATTGTTTCTTATAATTTTCAAAAACATTTTCGAAGCATGAGCAATTTTCTAAATTTTATGCACGTACTTACCAATAATATACTTAAATTACGTATGATATGATACTAAAATTTATCAGCTAATTAAATGTTTTTATTTCTTATCACTGAATGACACTGATTGAATTTTTAAACATTTTTAAGAACTATATTCAGAGAGCCGTGAATAATAAAAGCTTTACCAAACTAGTAAATTACTCATTTTTCTTTTGTTTTAACTTAACTTTGCTTATGCTAATATAAAATACACATCCATTTTGTGCAATAATACAATTGCAAATGTCACATTTTTGCTTTGCATCGCAAATATTCAATGACAATCTTTCATTAAGTAACTGAAAACGAATGCATTATAGTCAAACAATAGACTTCGCTTTCAAAAATAAGTAAAACAATTACATTACTATTATTAATCAGTGAAGTAAAATAAAATAATTCGACATGAAACTCACTGAATTATTATTATTGAGGCACTGACAGCCAGAGTGATGTATAGAACGAGACGGTGCCAAAAACGGAGTACGGTATGGGACAGATGAAAAAGAACACATACCGAATAATATTTATCAAGTGTACTGAGTGATACTATGATCAAAATCTGAAAATGATATCATTACAGCAGTAGACTCAACAACAAAGAAATTTTATTAAAAATAACGTAACTTATTTAATTTTAGGAGAATTTCTTTACATATGCAAAAAATTACTGTCTTAGTTTTGAATCCAGTGAATAAAAACGATATTGAAATAACCATTAAAACCACGCATTTAAAAATAAAAATAACAACTCATTATCATTCTAATAAATAGTAAATAAGTACGTGAAACTCAAACCAAACTTAATGAGTTGATAGACATTATAATTATTTGATGAATAAATAATTCCCTCAAAATTATTGCTTTTAAATTTTGCAATTTTATTTTCAATTCTGCATTCTGCGATAAGCGATAGTAGGAATGAAATGTAATGTTAGTTCAAAGTACAGTACCATTCAACTGGATCCAAAGAAGAGTATTTAAATCTGATAGATAATTCAAGCAGATTTGGATTTAATTACTTGCATATGCTTTTATTATGATAACACCAGTATTAACAAAAATATTTTCAATATTACTTGAAAATAATGAAATACAATTTTCAGTATACTGTTCAAGATGTATGCATCAATAATTCACAGCGATAAAAAGTGTTTATATGAGGAAGATTTAACGCAAACCAGAAAACTGATACACAAGTCACTGCAAATCAGATCTGGCAATATTCGAAAGATTAAATTCACTTCAGCTTAATCAGTTTACACACTTGAAATTAACAAATGATCATTTTACCATTATAGCTAAACTGAGCTATGAATTTTTGATGCAATATTTAAATGAAAAACAATTTTTTTTTTACTCTTAAAAATATGACAACTCTTAAAATATAACAATGAAAGAAAGATATTTGGAGGTTAGTTTTCGTTTTCGCTTTATCGATTCTGGCGCTGGATCGCATTCCGGCATTCTGGCTGTACTTGTCCATCGCTCACATTTGTTGTGCTCATCGTTTTCGCTCTGTCCTCGTGAAGTCCATAACGTATATCGAAGGAGATGCTTTCGAGCGGTTTTCTTGAGACCTGTTTCCGTATCGTACCACATCAACTTCTTCTTCGATCACAGATAATATCCCCGTCGGTCGCAAAGATCTTGAGATCATCCATAAACAACACATGATTCATAATGTGCATCCCTTAATCAGTTGGAACCGCCACCTTCGGGTACCTTATACTGAGCAGGCGGCTCAACGAGCCCATGCATAAGACAAATAGCAGCGGAGAAAAGCTATCACCTTGCAGAATTCTTCGTTGCATATTCTTCTCCATGATAGTTTTCCCACTGTTCTTCAGTACGACTGCCCATCTGGATGTGATGCTTCTCAGAAACCTGCTGATCTACGTTGGCATGTTAAGCCTTTCAATGCACTTAATCAGGTATCCGTGATTTACTGAATCGGACACTTTCTTGGTGTCATACTACATAGTATGTAGCTAGTTCCCGAGCTCTCTGCAAACTACCAGGTTCAATAATGCTTGTTCCTTCGCACGTTTAACCTGGGTAATAGTTCATAATTAATTATCTGCAAGTAGCTTTTTCATGGCAACATCCAACTGCATGACACGTGCCACATATTTCGTTGTCAACTTGTAAAGTTCGACATACAAGTTATTGGCCTGAAGTCTCTGCCTTTACTTGGGACATTTTTTGGAATCAGGTGGGTATTTCCTTTATAAAAAAAATAGTAGGAAGGATTTCCCTGAGTGAGGAGGATTTTGTTCCTCCTCACTCAGGGAAATCCTTCCTACTATTTTGTACAGGTATGGATGCAAGAAGGTGCACTTCTTAATAAAGAAGTTATAGGCTCCATCAAGCCCCGCCGCCTTCCAATTAGGCAAATCCCAAATTCAGCTTAAGAAGGAAAGTAGCATGCACCTCAGTGTGCCGGAAATAGTCATCCTTTCCCATCCTGGAGTTTTACATCGTACCCCAAAACTCCTGATTTCCTCTGCCCTGACATTGTGGCTAATAGGCTGTTCTTCTGTCAGATTTCTATAGAACTATCTTCTGAACAGTTCAAATCCGGCATTATGTATTTTGAATGCACATCGGGTCTCATAACTTTTAATTTTACTTTCGTAAACTCTCATAGGTCTGTCAATATGCTTAACGCTTCATGACAGTCACGCTTAAGAGTAAGTATGAGACTTCCTCATACATTTCTTGGCTTCTTTCAAACCTTTACCTCCAAGTTTTTCACCGGCCAAAGTCCGTTCTATGAGCGATTTGTGGAAATTTAACAAGCTTAACCTCCTTTCTATGCTTGTCTTCTACCCCGATAGCTTCTCCTCTCGCCTTACCATGTTTTCAAAACACTGTTGTGCTGCATGGAGCTGCCTTGCAATATCGGTCATTGACTTGGAGGGATTCTATGTATCATATTCACTCACCACTTGGTTCACCGCTCCAAGTATAAGAGGATCAACGCTCTATGATGTTATTTTCCGCGTCTACTTTGTCTGATTTATCTCACGCTCCTATGCTTCTTGCATCAGCACTAGATATTTCTTCTTTGCGTCTTGATAAACCTTAGACTCGTGTTAGCACGTTTCGTGGACTTCTCAAGAACCATTTATGTCTTCACGGACGATCTATAGTGCTGGCGATCACAGAATTCGCTTACTTCTTCAGTTCTTCGCGGGTAATAGCACACAAACACTTCTCGCTATGCAAGGAACGACCAGTCCCCCTCCTGGCATTCTTCCAAATCAGTCAAGAACCGCTTTGAGTACCCCTCCCGCCCACCTGCTTCGCGAAATTTCGATTCCACGGACGAGTGCTTCAAGCG